CAGTCATCCATGAGCACTTTCCAAGTTTGTCCCAAACATCTGTGTTTAAAATTTTCCCCCCAACAGATGTATTCATTTGCATTTCCCCCAGATGAATCACTTTTTTTGTTGTTGTTATTTTTTTGACTGTATTTCTCACCTCTCAAGATCCTTTGGTATTAATTCTCAAACCCACCACTTAGGTTGGTACCCTCTCCTGATTTGGGACCTTCCCTTTCTTCTATTATCATGAACATTTGCCTTTTCTATGGGCCACTAAATGAAATGTTCTTTAAGCAGATGATCTGAGGAGTACCTGGGTGGTTGAGTACGTTAAGCATCCCACTCTTGGTTTTGGCCCAGGTCATAATCTCAGGGTCGTGAGGCTGATCCACACCTTGGGCTTCTGCTCAGCAGTGAGTCTGCAGGAGATTTTCAATGCCTCCCCCTCACCCTCTGACCCTACCCTGCTCTTATTAGCGTGCCCCCTCTCTCTTTCTGTCTAAAAATAAGCAAAATAAATGAAATTTTTTTTTAAAAAGAGGACAGTCTGATAGGTCTGAGGGGCATTGTGGTTTGTTTTTGTTTTTGTTTTGGCAATAGGCCAACATTTCTAGAATTGAAACTTCTGTTGACCCAGAGAGAGTTTAAAACTCATTTTAGAAAATCTGGGTTACTTGAACAGTGATATAACTCTGAAATCAGAGGGCTCACATAGTGCCTACAATTCTAAGCAGTAAGGTATATTTCCATGTAGGAGCTTTCCTGTTTGGGGATCTCCAGGAGTCTCTATGGGAAACCATCCTTTCTCTTTCCCAGACCCAAAGACTTGATGGGAACATGGGGTAAGAAAAGGAGAGTGGAGGAGTCTTTAGGAGATCCCTCTGTGGGGGTCTCTGTGTAGACCAGCACACTCTTCAGAGACATAATGCAAGCCCCAAGGGTAGTGCTATATTTTCTAGTTAAAAAGTAAAAAGTGAAATTAATTTTAATAATAGATTTTAGTTAACTCAGTATATCCAAAATACTATCATCTGAACATGTAGTTATTTTAAAAAAATCCACGAGATACTTTTCATTCTTATTTCTATACCCAGTCTTGGAATCCGATGTGCATTTCACACTTCTTGAACACTTCATTTGGGACTAGTCACTTTTCAAGCCTATACCATATTGAAGAGTACACATAAACCCTTCGTTTCTATTGCTCATTGGTCCTCTGAGACCTCAATCTTTTCTGTTTGCATACCTTCTTATCATTCAGATCTCAGCTCAAAACACCTATTCCGGAGAGGAAAGGCAAGTAAATTCGACCCACTCCCTCCCTGCCCTCGGCTATCCCATTCTCCTGTGTTACTGTATCCCTAGAACTGATCTCTTCTGAAATGGTCTTATTCATTTGCTTACATATTTCTTTTCTATCTTCTCCACCAGAATGTAAGTTTCACGAGGGCAGGGATTTTTAAAAATTTATTTTGGTCTCTTGAGTTCCCGGGGCCAAGCACCGTGCCTGGCACATGCCGGGCGCTCAGGACACATTCGCTGGACGAAGGAGTCGCATTTCTCTGGAACGCGGCGGAAGGGGGCAGCCGAGCGGCGTGCACAGGTGGGGCCCCCACGATGCGCGCGGCGCTCTCTCGGCTCCAGGGTGGGTGTGGGTGAGTGGGTGTGGGTGAGTGGGTGAGGAGTGGGTGTGCGCGGGGGTGTGCGCGGTAGAGCGCGCCAGCGAGCCCCGAGCGCGGAGCGGGGAGGAGCAGTCGGCGCTGCGCAGAAAACGCAGCGCCCGCCGGGCCGGGAGCTCGGAGGTGGGTGGGCCGTGCCGCCAGCCCGCCCGCGGGGTCCCCATTGGCCGCCTGCCGGCCGCCCTCCGCCAGAAAGGCGGCGAGGAGCCGAGGGGCTGCTCGATAGCCGGAGGGGGAGCGCCCGACCGAGCCGACGCCGGGGCGGACGCGTGGGATCCGCGCCCCCCATTTGCTCCCTCCCCGCGCCCCCGCCGCCGCCCCGCTCGTCTCTGGCGCTGGTGCCCTCGGTCGGCCTCCGACAGCTACGGAGGGACCCGGGCAGCTCCCGGGCGCCGGCGGTGAGTGGCCGCGCGCGCGCTCCCCGGCCTCTCCCGGGCCCCGCCGCCTGCTTTTGCTTTCGCGGCGGCGGCGCGGCGGGGTTTGCCGGGGCTGCGCCCAGGGCAACCAGGAAGGCCCAGGAGGGGGCGGCTGGACTGCGGGGAGAAATGGGGTCGCAGCCAGGAGGCGCCCCCTGCCCCGAGGGCCGGGTGGGAACAGGTGGCGCGGGCCGGGCCGGGCGCTTTGTGTCGGGGCGCGGAGACCGGCAGCGGGCGACCGCGCCTCCCTCGGCAGCTCCCTTTCCTCCCCTGCTCCCCCGGGCGGCCGTACGCCGGGTCGGCCGGGTAACGGGGCGGGAGTCGCCAGGAATGTGCCTCTGGGGACTGCCTGGCTCGAGGGAGGAGCGGGGGTGGCCGCGGCGGCCGGGGAGTGCGGGAGCCGAGAGGTGGCGCGGGGGCCGCTGAGCCGCCGCAGGCCGGAGGGGGATGCTTCCAGCGAGGCGCGTTCCCCCGGGCGAGGGCTTCATTCTCCCGCGGCGCTCCCGGAGGTGGGGAGCTGGGTGGGCGTGAGTGTGTGGAGAGAGGGGAGGCGGGGAGGCCAGTCACTTCCGGAGCCGGTTCCGATCCGCGCCGAGCGCCACGCGGACCTCGGGGTGCGGTTGTGCCCGGCTCCACGCGCGCGCGGGCGATGCGGGGCCGGGGGACGTCCCTGGCGCGGGTTTAACAAAGGGTGCGCCTCTCCACCCGGCGGGGCGGGGCAGCCGGGCAGAGGTGGTCCTCGGGAGGGGCTCTTAGCTGGGGAGGACTCCTTCGTTTTCGGGTTGTCATTGTATTATTATTATTGCTATTATTTTAAAGGACTGGAGACTGATGCATGAGGGGCCCACGGAGGCGCAGGAGCGGTGGTGATGGTGTGGGAAGCGGAGCTGAAGTGCGCTGGGCTTTGGTGAGGAGTGACAGTTTATCATGACTGTGTTCAGGCAGGAAAACGTGGATGATTACTACGACACCGGCGAGGAACTTGGCAGGTACGGGGGGAGGGGGGGTGTGCCGGAAGCGCATGCTACTGGGTTGTGCGAATGCATAATATTGGGGGCAGTGGGCGGTAGACAAACGCAGTTTGAATCAGGCGGCTCCCTCTCCCTTCCAAGAGATGTGCAAGTTATAGAGAAGAGTTGCCAGCCCAGCGCGTCCTGGGGTCCAGAAATAAAGCCGCTAATCCAATGGGCTATGATGGAAGAGGCAATTTCAGTGCTAGATTATGCTGCAAACGGTATTGATCAAGACCCCCGGACAGGAACAGATTTAATTGTCTGCAGTAATTCTTGTCAGCTTTTGCAGTTCCGAGATGAGGCAAAAGCTTAGTAAGATATATTTGCATCTGGTGTTAGGTCTTGTATGTGACTTGAACAGCGTACCGGCGAATTAGTAGGATTTAAAATATTCATGCTTTCTCTCTTTGAATTTTCAGAGTAACGCGAGCAAGTACGGGTTGGTCATATATGGCGACTTGCCCGATGTTGGTGTTGGGTTTGGATTTTGAAACTTCTCCAGCCAGAGATTTAATTACCCCGTTGGTGTTCCTGGTTGCTTTGGTTTCCTTTACAATGTTAAATTTGTAACAGATAAAAGATTGAGAGTCTAATATGGCTATCTGGATTCAGAGCATACTTCCATTGGTTGCGGGAGCTGTGACTCTGAGGGCAAAGTCGTTCAGTTTCTGGTGAACAAGGAATGATTATTTTGAGGCGTCTCAGGACGGGCTCAGTTTCTCCTTGACTGGTTATTTGACAGGATGTGTTGAGCTCTGGTCTAAGTAGCACAAAACCCAGTTTTCACACCTAAATTTAGGTTCAACATAAGGATTTGATTTTAGTGGATATGTTTTGAGTGAATGATCTTGAAACAAACAGAAAGTGTGTATTTACTTACACTTGTATCAAAATATGTATTTTTCCATATTCACCTGATGTCCCGATCCTAAGCTCTTTTTTTTTTTTTTTTTTTTTTTTTTTAAAGAAGGAAATTCAAAAGCACCCACACCCTAGGTTACCTAATGGGAATTTCCAGTGTGGAGCTTAACAAAAATTTTTTACAAGTTCAGATAAGAATGGGGAATAAAAGCCATTTTAAAAAAGCTTTTAGTTAGTTATTTGACAGAGAGAGGCATAGCGAGAGAGGGAACACAAAGAGGGGGATGGGGAGAGGAGAAGCAGGTCCCCTCCCCCTGCCCCCAACAGGGAGCCCGATACAGGGCTCAATCCCAGGACCCTGGGATCATGACCTGAGAAGGCAGACACTTAACCGACTGAGCCACCCAGGCTCCCCTAAAAGCCATTTTTTAAAAAAAGATTTTATTTATTTATTTGACAGAGAGAGAGAGAGATCACAAGTGGGGGGGGCAGGCTCCCCACTGAGTAGAGAGCCCGACTTGATCCCGGATCTCTGAGATCAAGACCTGAGCCAAAGGCAGAGGCCCAACCTACTGAGCCACCCAGGTCCCCTAAAAGCCATTTTTAAAAGGTTACTGTAACAAAGTATTTCTGTTTGTGTTTAATATCACCTCAGGATGTCACTGAGAGCCTGAATTTAGGAGGAGCTTATGATATATTGGAGATTTTCTGAGGGAATAAGGAAGAAGGAAAGTTCTGAAAAATCATATTTCACAGATATGTTTAAGATTAAGGTTTAAGGGTGTGTGGTTGAAGTACTTGTTTTAACTAGAATTAAATCACTTTATTCCTGTGGTTTTCAGCAAAGCGAGTGGTATATGGAGTTTTCCTTTGTGTTTCCCCACTGGGAAAAAAAATGGTGAAAAAATATATTTTAATTCCATTTGTGTAGTGTGGCCTCGTTATATAAATTCTCTTCGAAAGAAGGGTGATTAAAAAATTAGGTGAGCCGATTGCTTTATGGATTAAGTATATGACCTTATTTTCAGTAAGATCTTTTGGTAGAATTATGTGTTATGAGAAAGAAAGAAGAAAAAACCGAAGTCTCCCTAAGGCTGGTGGGGGGGGTGTGATCTTCACTTAGTGGGCGAGATGACAGGCCCTCTGCCCACCTCTGGGAGGTGGCGTGCTCCGTTCTCACTACATTTAGCTTTGACTTTTGTCTTGGTCTCCGTTTCTGTGTAGAACTTTCTCCCCACCATGTAAGACTAATTGACACCTCGTTGATGGGCTGATTTAATTTGTGTGACCTGGGGATTTGAGAGAAGGGCTCTGAGAAACTGGGAGTTGGGGGATTTTAAAATAAAATATATATTCCATCCATCCGATACGGCTGCTTTTGCTTTGCCTGAAAATGAGGAAAATGGTTGAGTTGAGGGGGAAGTTGTTTTTTTTTTTTCCCAAGCCCTGCGGTTTTTACATCTGCCTTGGAAATAACCACTTCCTGAAAACAAGTCCTGAGCTAAAACAGAGATGAAGGAAAGAGCACAGAAATGGAAATGGGCAGATAAGGAGCACAGATGCAGGGCCCCGTGAGCAGTGAGTTATACCCAGACCGGTGTACATCCTACACTTGACCGGCATGTCTTTAGGAGTCATTGAAATAATAGGTACTCTTTTCGCTTATGCATATGCTGAGACCAAGTCCATAGCCAGAGGAGGTGAGATGGGTGCGCTCGATATTATTACTATTATTGCTTTACTTTTAGGAAAACCAACAGAGTACCTTATGTACGAGTGTCTGTCTGTGTGTCTGTGTGGACTGCCCAGGACTGCCATAAAAGCTCTCTGTCCCTGTTAAGAACTTTATAATGTACTCTGATTGTCGCAGTAATGATCCAGGAGACAGACCCCGGGACAGAGATCCTGTTTCAAAATCTGGCTCTGCAACTTGCTAATTACCTTGAGTAAGTCCCTTACCCTTTCTGACCCTCAGGATCTTCATTTTGTTGTTGTTGTTATTGTTAAAGACTTTATTTATTTATTTGGCACAGAGAGAGATCACAAGTAGGCAGAGCAACAGGCAGAGAGAGAGGGGGGGAAGCAGGCTTCCACTGAGTAAGGAGCCAGATGCGGGGCTCGATCCCAGAACCCTGAGATCATGACCGGAGCCGAAGGCAGAGGCTTAACCCACTGAGCCACCCAGGCTCCCCTCAGGATCTTCATTTTTAAGACAAGTGGCCTACGGGTGCCTAGCTAGCTCAGTCAGAAGAGCATGTGACTCTTGTTCTCTGGGTTGTGAGTTTGAGCCCCATGTTGGGTGTACACATTACTTAAATGAATACATAAAAACTTAGAAAAAAATAAAGTGAGAGGCTCAGTGCTTACGTTGTGGCTGTTTTGAAAATCCCATAGTCTAACACATGTAGAAGTATTTTAATCCACAGTAAAGCATTAAACCAAGGCAGATATGATCTGCAGGACTGACCGACACATGTGGGTGTTCCAGGCAGGCTAATAACTTGCCTGCAAGTCAATTTTTGTTCAGGCTTCTGTTTGCCAATTTGGGGAACGGAGGCCTTCTGGGGAAAGGGTCATGTGGGGCGAGGCACATTGATGTTGCCCTTGTCCTCCCCACTCTGAGTCCAAACTCCTGTTGTGAGCACCCTCCCCCCCCCCTTAGAAGACGGTTTGGTGAGTCTTAACTTTGTGTTGACTCCAGGAGGCCCTTTGGGGTCTCACTCCCCATCCATAAAGCACTGTTTCCATCCCATGGAGTGATTTCTGGGAGGGGTTCTTGTGAACGGAGCCGTAATAGCTGGGTCACTTTTAACCCCCCGGGGTATCCTTGCCTCTCTTAGCAGCTGGAGCAGGCTGGCTTGTCCCGCCCTCGGGCTCACCTTGCATGGTGGTTCAGCCTAACATGGGAGCCTTCTGGACATTTCGCTGAGCACCGCTTTCCTCTCCCACCGTCTGACCTCACATGATCTTAAGACCGGGGTCCTGCCTCCTGAAGAACTTCCCAGTGAGTTCTCTTTCAGACTTGCTGCCTTGAAGCACTCCGATCTGCTGGTACTCGACCACAGACTGTCGTGCCGTGCTGGGTCCTTGCTTTGTGCTGTCATTATTCTCTTGCTTCTCGTGGCCCGCTGGAGCGCTCCTTGTGGTGAGCTCCGTGGTCTTTTCTTCCCAGGGCATGCAGTGTGCTGTGTAACACCGGGCGACATCTGGATCAGTGCCTGGACAAGCCATGCGGGTGGCCAGGTGCGGCATTGGGACCATGATGGGGATTTAAGACCTAAATGATGATGTGGGTGCTCATGCTGATAGAGAGGCAGTGTGTGGTGTGAGACAGCCTCGGGACACTCATTTGGAAAGTGGGGAGACGCCTACCTTTGTAAGGTGTTGTGGCAATGAGAGACTGTGGCTGTCAACACCTGACACGCTGTCCCTGCCTGAGGTATTGTTTTTAATAACCTGTTGTCCCCATCCCAGTGTTTCTCACATTGTAGAGTCACTGTTTAGATGATTACCTGCTTTCCTCACAGGTTGTCGGGGCTGTGACCTTGGACTTGCTCATCGGTGTGTATCTCTAAGGCCAACTTAGATACTCATCAGTAGGCGCTCAGTAAATGCTTTTGATGGGATGAATAGATTGTTGTATGTGAAGCACTGTGAACACACACACACACATACACACACGCGTGCACACATGCATGTACGTACGTATGGCCCTCAGTAAGGGATGACCCCGGTGGGGATGAGCTTAGGAGGTCAAGGGCTGCGACTCCTAAGAGTGGAAACTGCTCTTCTGTTTGTGTCCTCTGTGCCTGGACAGTAATATGCACCGCAGCCAAAATGTCCAAGCCCAAGGTCCGTTTTAACCGAAACAAAGTGGAGCTTTAGATAATTTACATCAGTTCGGATGGTGGCTGGAAGCTTAATAATTCAAATTTAAAACTTTCTCATTCTGGCATACGATCCATAGGCAGTTTAATTGAAGTAAGGCTTTGTCCTAAACTCCAGGAGTCAGCATACGTCTTTCATTTGGTTTGCTGCGGATCACTGGGTGGGTTCATAGAATTATAACAATCCTGTGTGGCTGGAAGGAGGAAAGACTTCTTGGCCTGTTTTCC